GAAGGAGGTTCGGGGGGGGGGAAAGAGGTTCGGGGGGGCGGGCGCAAAAATGCACATTGCCTGTGTAGGCAAGAATCCTAGCACCGGCACTGAGAGTACTGTCACGTAACACCTCCTGCTCTTCACCCTTTAGATGATGGAGACCGAATGCTTCAAAGAACTGAATGTTTTTGGGCCTAACGGTACCTTGTCCCCCGATCTCAATCGCAGCCACCCACCAGAACCACCTAAGAAGAGTCTGCTGCATCGCATCTTTAAACGTCAGGTGAGAAGAGGGAAGGGTCACATACTTGTCCCCGGTCTTCAGAAAGATCTATGGCCATTGTACAGACAGTATTACATATAATGGGTCTTGTCAGCTATTGTATTTTTGGTGTCAGGTGACAACTTCTTTCCAGGAGATCTGTACAGCTGGAGCTCTACATGGAGGAATTCTTCTTTAATATAGAATGTGGAGACATTGGCTCATTCAGGTCATAACCCCCACGCTTATCCACTGCAGAGCTTAGGACTCCAAGCAACAGGAAAATGACACTAGGTGGTCTCATCTTTCTTCACCATTTGAGATCCTCCTAAAATAGGACTTTCCGGAGTTGTATCAGAAAGTGAAAGTTTGCTGTGGTCCACTTTTTAGGGCTTAGTAGAACTTTCAGAGAGAGAACGTGAATTCCAGCATTTCACCAACCATCCCCATTCCTCCATTTACAGGTCCGGGTGGCAACCTCTGATTCTTCAGTGTAAGGATCAGTATCATAGCCACACATGTCCCTCAGATCTTCTGCATGGGTTCAGGCCCCCATTCTATAGAGAAGTAGTTGGGCTTGCTTCCAAAGAAGTTGCAGGATGAGCCACAAGTCCCATTATGGGGGAGTATAATCCACATATCCCTATGCGGGGTGTAGGGCTCAGTGGGAGCCTTCACAGTATGTGCTACAGAGTTGCATTGGGACAGACTACCTTGGGTTTGAGTCTGATGAAGAGAGTAAGTGAAGGTTAGTTATGGGCTCTTCCAGGGGGATGTCTACCATGAGTGTTAAAAGTTTTTTTTGTTTCCTAAGTTGCCTTGCTATGAGCATGCACGGACCTTCTCTAGGTCGGGTTATACTAACAGGCAGTTGTATACAAGGGTTCAGTATACAAGATTGAACCATACAGAGCACCTGTCACGATCCGGGATCAGGCTCGGAGTCCAGTAGCTGAAGCAGCAGGCAATTGGTGGTGTAACAGGCCGGGTTCGGTACACAAGCAGAGGGTAGTGGTGGAGGAGCAGGCAGAGGCGTAGTCAGCGAACAAGCCAAGGTCAGGAGCCAAAGGTATCGGGTATGTAGCAGAAGATGATGAGAGTAGTCGGTGATTCAGCAGCCAAAGGTCGGTACACGGGTAGCAGTATGAGCGGATTGTATCACAGAGGGAGCAGGAAGCAAGATAATGGCAGGAGCATAATAATCTGGCAAACAGGAAGTGCAGAGGCGTGGCTTAAATAGGAAGTTCAAGGGAAGAGCAAGGAGTTCAGCAGAAACTAGGTTTACCTGAGGATTACACAGGAGAGCAGGCAAGGAACTATCCAAGGTTCTAAGGTGGCTCAGCAGGTAGAACCACCGCCAGCTACAGCGGAGGTTCTGGGTTCAGATCCGGTTCCTGACAGCACTGAACAACCAGGGTGGAATGTACAAAGGTGAACATTCATAACATATCCGTATCTGCCATGTGCTCTCATAGGTCTTTCATGAACACATCTCCTGCCACTGTAATACAATGGACCCTGCGTAGCGTTTCTGAGGAAACAAAGGTTTGTCAGGTGCAGAATCACTGAACCACTTCTACCAGCCAACAGAATGCGTACGTCTGTCCATCGAGTCCGAAAAATGTCTCATTTATCTTCTCTTCCTCAGCACCAAAACAACTCCAACAGTTTGCCCGGCCCCAAGCCCTCCATAAACCACCATCTGAACACCAACCACGTCCACTCCAACTCAACGGGAAGCAGTTAGTGAGGAGGTGCGCCCACCGACGGGGGAAATACAGTCAGGAGTGGTGACCTTCTTCTGCTGCTGACGTCGGAGAGAGGAGAGTCAGAGGCCCGACAGCCTTCCGCCGGGGAAGTCTGTATATGTGTGTCAGCGGGATTGACAGACGGGACTTTCTTTCCTCTTCTCACAAGTGAAGCCTCACATGGAAGGTTCGCTCAGGTGAGGGGGTGCGAACCCCTCCTTTTATGACAGGGGTGTAACAAGAAAAAACGATACCTCCCACAGTCACATGACTCTGCAATAGGACATTGCCAATTGCATGTAACAGGTAACAAAATCACGAAAAAAAAAGAACTGAACCCACATGACAAGCGACAAGACCAACGGGCCTCCAGGGCTCCATGTCCGCATTGTACTCTATATCTTTATTTTCAACAAAAGAAATTAAAAAAAAGTGTTTTATTTTTCAGGATTTCTTGTCTATTGTCTGATATTTATTACAACATTTTGTGGAAAAACAAAAGACTTCAAGTTTCATTTCAAAGGTGAGCAAGCCAAGTGCAACAAAAGCGGGCGGCATATTGGCGGTGTCTCCGTCCTGCGAGAGGCGTCGCCAAGTGCAGAGCTGTCATGTAGGATTTATAGTACGGACGCGCGGAACGCGAGGAGATACATTCCTGGTGTCCAAGGAACATTCTGTCCGGTCAGATTCAGGGGCGTAACTAGAAATCCCAGGGCCCCATAGCAAAATTTTGTATGGGGCCCCCCGTGATTTCTAGGTATACCCCTTGCAGAGATCCCAGCTGAGGGTACGAACAAGCCAAGGTCAGGAGCCAAAGGTATCGGGTATGTAGCAGAAGATGATGAGAGTAGTCGGTGATTCAGCAGCCAAAGGTCGGTACACGGGTAGCAGTATGAGCGGATTGTATCACAGAGGGAGCAGGAAGCAAGATAATGGCAGGAGCATAATAATCTGGCAAACAGGAAGTGCAGAGGCGTGGCTTAAATAGGAAGTTCAAGGGAAGAGCAAGGAGTTCAGCAGAAACTAGGTTTACCTGAGGATTACACAGGAGAGCAGGCAAGGAACTATCCAAGGTTCTAAGGTGGCTCAGCAGGTAGAACCACCGCCAGCTACAGCGGAGGTTCTGGGTTCAGATCCGGTTCCTGACAGCACTGAACAACCAGGGTGGAATGTACAAAGGTGAACATTCATAACATATCCGTATCTGCCATGTGCTCTCATAGGTCTTTCATGAACACATCTCCTGCCACTGTAATACAATGGACCCTGCGTAGCGTTTCTGAGGAAACAAAGGTTTGTCAGGTGCAGAATCACTGAACCACTTCTACCAGCCAACAGAATGCGTACGTCTGTCCATCGAGTCCGAAAAATGTCTCATTTATCTTCTCTTCCTCAGCACCAAAACAACTCCAACAGTTTGCCCGGCCCCAAGCCCTCCATAAACCACCATCTGAACACCAACCACGTCCACTCCAACTCAACGGGAAGCAGTTAGTGAGGAGGTGCGCCCACCGACGGGGGAAATACAGTCAGGAGTGGTGACCTTCTTCTGCTGCTGACGTCGGAGAGAGGAGAGTCAGAGGCCCGACAGCCTTCCGCCGGGGAAGTCTGTATATGTGTGTCAGCGGGATTGACAGACGGGACTTTCTTTCCTCTTCTCACAAGTGAAGCCTCACATGGAAGGTTCGCTCAGGTGAGGGGGTGCGAACCCCTCCTTTTATGACAGGGGTGTAACAAGAAAAAACGATACCTCCCACAGTCACATGACTCTGCAATAGGACATTGCCAATTGCATGTAACAGGTAACAAAATCACGAAAAAAAAAGAACTGAACCCACATGACAAGCGACAAGACCAACGGGCCTCCAGGGCTCCATGTCCGCATTGTACTCTATATCTTTATTTTCAACAAAAGAAATTAAAAAAAAGTGTTTTATTTTTCAGGATTTCTTGTCTATTGTCTGATATTTATTACAACATTTTGTGGAAAAACAAAAGACTTCAAGTTTCATTTCAAAGGTGAGCAAGCCAAGTGCAACAAAAGCGGGCGGCATATTGGCGGTGTCTCCGTCCTGCGAGAGGCGTCGCCAAGTGCAGAGCTGTCATGTAGGATTTATAGTACGGACGCGCGGAACGCGAGGAGATACATTCCTGGTGTCCAAGGAACATTCTGTCCGGTCAGATTCAGGGGCGTAACTAGAAATCCCAGGGCCCCATAGCAAAATTTTGTATGGGGCCCCCCGTGATTTCTAGGTATACCCCTTGCAGAGATCCCAGCTGAGGGTGAACTTGCAGAGCCCACCGTAGAATCTCTATGGTGGGTTATGCAGGGTCACCCTCAGGTGGGCTGGTCGCACTCCTTACCTGTCCGCCTCCTCTTCCTCCACGGTCGCTGATGGGCCACGCCTCCTACTCCGTCGCCGGGCCCGCCCCTTCTTCATCACCGGGCCCCCACCTCCTCCCCTGCTGCTGACCACGGGCCCCGCCTCCTCCTCCTCCACTGCCGCTGCTGGCTCTCATTGACTCTGTGGAGAGGAACGCGCTGCGATCTGAACAGCGGCGTGTTCATCTTCAGCCGCCAGTGAAAGCCACCAGCGGAGGATCCCAGGCGGCCCGCACGGCATCTGACCGGGCCCCACTGTGCCCCGGGCCCCATAGCGGCCGCCTGGGTCGCTATGGTGATTGTTACGTCACTGGCCAGATTATTCGAGGACCATTGTAACTCTGCTTATTTGTTGTCTGTCTAGTGACCTTCCCCCGATGATGGTCGGAGGCTCCTCTTCTCTGGCATCCATCATAGGCCAGGAGCTGCATCTTCATACAACCTGCATGTATTCCGCAGACTCAAGGACCATTTATGGATGGAATTAAGAGATGTGCACTGGCAGCAAATTGGGAAAATCCAAACTTGCAGGGGCCACTTGTGGAGATGATCTTTACTCTGGAGGCCATGCAGAGGGCAAAGGACTAGTCACCAGTACTGTAGGTGGTCTCCCTTCAGCTGATGTTTCCCCCATTACAGACCTAGCATGCTTGTTCTGCACTGTGTGTCTGTGTGGAGGCGGCCATCTTGGTAGGCTTTGCTTCCTCATGTCAGAGACGCTCCCTTCCCTGATGACTGGTGATTTGATGATAGAGGTGGAGGAAACACAGATCTACTGTAGGGAATGAAGCAGAAGCCGGGAGATCCTTACAGTGCAGCTCCTCAGGTACAGCTTCCTTTCCAGCCAGGAGAACCAGAGAGCATCACATCAGGGAAATCTCAATCCACATCTGGCAAGACTAACAGTCAGAGGCAGCAGTGCCTTAGGTGATCTCACACTGCAGATAACCATCTGAGGGCCAGCATGCCTAGGTACACGCACATACCAGGAAGTGGTACTAGTCTAGTCTCTGGCACTAATCTAGTAATCTAGTCTATGGCGCTTGTCTAGTCTCTGGCGCTAGTCTAGTCTCTGGCGCTAGTCAAGTCTCTGGCGCTAATCTAGTAATCTAGTCTATGGCGCTAGTCTAGTCTCTGGCGCTAGTCTAGTCTCTGGCGCTAGTCTAGTCTCTGGCGCTAGTCTAGTCTCTGGCGCTTGTCTAGTCTCTGGCGCTAGTCTAGTCTCTGGTGCTAATCTAGTAATCTAGTCTATGGCGCTTGTCTAGTCTCTGGCGCTTGTCTAGTCTCTGGCGCTAGTCTAGTCTCTGGCGCTTGTCTAGTCTCTGGCGCTTGTCTAGTCTCTGGCGCTTGTCTAGTCTCTGGCAATTGTCTAGTCTCTGGCACTAGTCTAGTCTCTGGCACTTGTCTAGTCTCTGGCACTAGTCTAGTCTCTGGCACTTGTCTAGTCTCTGGCACTTGTCTAGTCTCTGGCACTAGTCTAGTCTCTGGCACTTGTCTAGTCTCTGGCACTAGTCTAGTCTCTGGCACTAGTCTAGTCTCTGGCACTTGTCTAGTCTCTGGCACTAGTCTAGTCTCTGGCACTTGTCTAGTCTCTGGCACTTGTCTAGTCTGGATAAGCATTCTTCCTACCAAGTCCCATCCATCAATCCTCCAATGGAATATCTTCTCTTTTTCTGTGGTGGAAGTGCACCTCCTCCTCTTCTACATGAGATTGGTGGGAGAAGAGCGGCCTGAAAACATAGTATTGCTGGTGGAGGGAGAGCTAGTGGGGAAGGTCTTGTGGACAGTGGGTTAGGAACTGTCACAGAATAAGGGTAGGGGTGTATAAATCATGCAGTTGCCCCAAAAACTGGAGATACCCACCACAGAGACCTCAAATATAGATACATTCTACAAAAATCAAATATTATACTTTGTGATATAATGATACTGTTGTCGTATATGGTTCTCTGAGGTGAGTATCTCCAATGTTTGAGGGTAATTGAATATTTGATGTTTTAGGGGGGGGGAGTGTTAACCCAACAGGTTGTTAGGTGCAAACCTTCGTTCTTATCAATAACCAATTCCCTCGCCCTCTATGCAGAACTGGACGCTGGTACCGTGTTTCCCCGAAGGTAAGACCTAGCACTATCTTCGGGGATTTCTGTAATATAAGACCTACCCCGAAAATAAGACCTAACAAAAGAGAAAATATGACAGTGTCTTATTTTCGGGGAAACACGGTAGGAGAGCTGACGGAGGATGTAGAGCGGACGGTGAGGGGAAGAGCTACTGCAGCATACATGGAGTGTGGACAGTAGGGGGAGAGCTGGTACAGAATGTATTGAGGATGGTAGGAGATAGAGAGTGCAGGGAACTGATTCCGTATATTGTGGACACTGAGGGAACAATGTGTAGGGGGACCTGTTATAATTGCTGGAATGGTTGAATCGGAGAAGTTCTGCATACGACTTCCTCCTGCATTCAGACCTGGTGACAGAATCCTCCAGCATTAAAAGTGGGGAATGAAATCCGGCTTCATACCATAGAGGGGAAGGATTGCCATAGCTAGATGGTCCGGGTGGATCACTTGGATCTGGGCTCTGCTCTGTGCACTGGAGCTTCACATGGTGCCAAAATCCTCCACGGAAAATAAAAGGTTGCAGAGCCTTGTAAAAATATAGAGACTATAGGAAGTAGGGATGCAGAGATACTTTTCGAGTACCAGTGCCGATACTCGGCATTTTCATGAGAACTCCCGGGGTTGCAGCAGTTGCAGCTGGGACCGGGCTCTGGCGCTCCACCACTGTCCTGAAATCATTAGTCTGTTTTAGAAAAATTGTCACATGACAATAAACAAAAATGTATCAGTACTCTTACTTGTAAGTACTCGGCAAGTATCAGTACTCGTACTCGCTAAACTGGTATCTGTGCGTCCCTTTATTTATATTTATAAAAACAAAATCGTACATTAAAACAGAGATGTAGAAATCCCAGGAGCTCCGTGTGCTCCTTACACATGACAGCGGCCTCCTAATTTTTGCATTTTTAGCTAGTGTAGTCTTGGAGCTCAAAAGTATCGGTACATGTACTCGTACTTGTACCGAGTACTGTACTTGGTATCTGTGCAACCCTAATAGGAAGGATAAGGCACATGGAGTCTGCAATGGCAGCTCTCATACTGTAATCCTGACAGGTTCCCATTACTTGGAGGGTGTTGTAGCCAATGAGACAGAGTTGACATGTATGACAGAACAAGAGTCACCGGCCACATCTGACCACCAATGACATATTCATGGTATATAGTTAGGGTTGCCACCTGTCAGGGATTCACCCGCACAGTTCGGGTTTTGAATGCTCCGTCCGGGTTTCATGGAACCAGGAACCCGGACACAAGATGTCAGGCAGACAGGGGCAACCAAAATTAAGATTGGGGCTAGTGGCCCCCCACTGAAAATAGTCTCAACTGTGTTTTTTACATATTAATGGTTGGTGCCCATTACATATGAACAAGCCACGCCTCATTCTCCCCAAAAAATATGTCCGCGTCTCGCTATAGTGTTATCGGGTTTCGCTTGAAGAAAAGGTGGCAACCCTATATATAGTTCATGTATACAACGTGTCACTTGTCACCTAGAAAAAGCAGATTGAGCCTAAAATATGACTTGAAACGCTGAAAACCTCGAACCATCGCGTAGAAAGTGACGGCGGCCCCCTTCTGTCTTCATATGAGCGGCCGACGTCTCTGCTCTTCCTGTCCTCCACCACATTGTTACAGCCTCACAGACTGTAAAATTTCCCAGCCATCTCACTTCCTGTGACAAACCCGCAGCACCCGGTGTCTATGCGAGCCTTGAAGAGCCCTCGAGGTCTGCAGAGTTCCTGTATATATATTCTCCATAGATTCAGCTGAGCAACGCGTCAGCCAATGAAAGCAGAATGTGGCCCCATGAACGGGCGGAACTTTCCGTCTCTACAATCAATTTGTGATCAATGATGAGAAGTGGACGTCATGGAACCCCAAATGTCTGAATGTTATTCATTGTTATCTTTATAGAATAAAGAGATTTGGGAGGGTGAATGAAGAACCTGTAAGCAGTGGAGTCACAGAGCAACTCAAGCTGAAACACTTAACTCCAGCAGGGGCTGCCGGGGGGCCACACCTCTCACGTGCAGCTCTCAGGGGCTCTCTGATTGGGGGCACCAGAGCTTTAGCCCCACTGAAAGACACATTCTAGTATCATTCACCCTTCAGGTTCACTCTGGAGGTCCTCCCCCCAGTCCAGTCCCCTCAGACTCCTATACACATATGGGAACACTCGGGGGCAGGAAGACGCGTCGCCCTTTCTTGGTGTGACCACCATCATGTGTCTGTTCCACACCTCACCCTGTCCTGCCAACACACAATCCCCAAACTCTGCCCCTAGAATGCCCCGTCCTGAGTTCATCTTCATAACGTGTACAACAACCAACTAACTACGGCCAACGTGGCAGAAGAGATTTCCAAAACAAAAATCACCATCCAAAAATGTCGGAGCCTCTAAAGCACACATCACGTTTCAGGAGCAGAAATATCTGTGACCAGGGCCGGATTCCCAACAAGTCCACTGAGGCCCGGTCTCGGGGCGGCACAGGTTTGAAGTCACCCGACGCCCGGAACATGGAGTTCCGGGCGCCGGGCGGTAATTTTTTTCTACAACAAATTTTCCTCCAAGAAGTTCTTGAAGGAAGGAAGATGTCTGCAGCACCATCCGTGGTAACCAGACTATTCGGCACAACCAGATCTGGAGAATTTTATTATGAAAACATTTTATTTTCTTTAGTTTAGACATTTACATCATTTCAACAAGAAGAATCTCACTTATAAAGCCAATAAATGTACAGCGTTTCCCGGAGAGGAACCAGAAATGAGCGAAGCAATCCCTACAGATCCCTACTCGGATATCTGGGAATGTCGGCCAATCCAATCACATAGCCCAGTCCACCGGGGGCGCGGGGGGGGGGGGGTGTGGAGTCGAGCGAGCGGGGGGGGGGGATTTAGGATCCGGCCGAGCACACCAGGGTCATGGGCTCCTGCAGCCATGCGGTATTTCCTATGATTTGGGATTTACCCATAATGCCTCACTCCAGCACACCATAGTGAACGCATTCATTTTTCAGCTGGAAGGGGGTAGGAAGTCTCCTATGAAGAACTCCAGCACAGCATCGGGACCGCAGTATGGGAACTTCATGGAATCCTATCTTCTGGTTCTTTACTCTGTGGCTGCAGGTCTCCGATGGAGGGAATATGTAGGCAGGTTTCTGTGCATCCTTTATTACAATGGGCTAGGAGTGGGCACTGGACTAGGATTAGACATTGAGCCAGGATTGGGCATCAGGCTAGGATTAAGCATTGGGCTAGAATTGGGCACTGGGCTAGGACTGGCATTCGGTGTTGCACTAGGATTGGACATGAGGCTAGGATTAAGCATTGGGCTAGGATTGGGCATTGGGTTAGACTTCGGGCTAGGATTAGGCATTGGGCTAGGATTAGGCACTGGGCTAGGACTTGGCATTTGACAGGGATTGGGCATTGGATTAAGATTAGACGTTGGATTCGGATTGGGCATTGGACTAGGATTGGACACTGGAATGGAACTGTGTATTGGGCTAGGATTGGGCATTGGGCTAGGATTGGGCATTGGAGCAGGATTGGGCACTGGACTAGGATTAGGCATTGGATTAAGATTAGACGTTGGGCTAGGATTGGGCATTGGACTGGAACTGTGCATTGAGTTAGAATTGGGAACTAGACTAGGATTGGGCATTGGAGCAGGATTCGGCGTTGGACTAGGATTAGGCATTGGGTTAGACTTTGGGCTAGGATTAGGCACTGGGCTAGGACTTGGCATTGGACAGGGATTTGGCATTGGATTAAGATTAGACGTTGGATTCAGATTGGGCATTGGACTAGGATTGGACACTGGAATGGAAGTGTGCATTGGGTCAGAATTGGGAACTGGACTAGGATTAGGCATTTGTCTAGTATTAGGCATTGTGCTAGGATTCGGAGTTGGACTAGGATTGGGCATTGGGCTAGGATTAGGCATTGGGCTAGGATTAGGCATTGGGCTAGGATTAGGCATTGGGCTAGGATTGGGCATTGGGCTAGGATTGGGCATTGGAGCAGGATTGGGCATTGGGCTAGGATTGGGCATTGGGCTAGGATTAGGCATTGGGCTAGGATTGGGCATTGGGCTAGGATTAGGCATTGGGCTAGGATTAGGCATTGGGCTAGGATTGGGCATTGGGCTAGGATTGGGCATTGGAGCAGGATTGGGCATTGGGCTAGGATTGGGCATTGGGCTAGGATTAGGCATTGGGCTAGGATTGGGCATTGGGCTAGGATTGGGCATTGGAGCAGGATTGGGCATTGGGCTAGGATTGGGCATTGGGCTAAGATTAGGCATTGGGCTAGGATTGGGCATTGGGCTAGGATTAGGCATTGGAGCTGGAGATGAGGATTACAAGGAGGGGGGAGATGCCGGATTTTAATGACTCTCATGGAGGGCAATCTGAAGGTAACTGGAGGACGGAGAGAGTTGTGACGGTTCGGGAAGTGGAGGAGAACGAATCATATGAGGAGTGGGCGGCGCCCTGGGGGAAATGTGCGGGTCGGGTTCCCTGTGCACAGGACAACATCTTCTGGTAATATAAAACATGGCGGAGACAATGTCACTGGAATATAGACAGGACCGACAGGCTCCGCCCCCTTCAGCTTGCGCGGGGTCCCTTCTGCTGTTCCACATGAAGCGGCGAATCCACCGGCTGGCTCCGTCACCGCAGTCAGTCATGTGACGTAGATTCTTGAGGCTCGCTTCGGTGCCGACTCCCCCGGCCGGGAGGTCTCACTCTCCTCCGAGGATTGCAGCTTGTGGAACTTCTCCGATTTCAGGAAACGGCCGTAACTGTCATACTTCATGAGGTTAAATATCTGCAAATACACGAGAAGGGATCGCGGGAAGGGATCGTGAGAAGCAGGGGGCGTAACCGCACATCATGGGGCCCCCCAGCAACCTCCCTACTGTCAATGATATTAAAGTCAGGTAGCAGGAGAGCTGCATGCAAAGTCCCCCCCTCCCCCCCTGTACATCTGATGTCAGCTCTGCTTGATTAATGTCAGTGTCAGCAGCAAATGCTGCAATCCTTATTGGGGCCCCTTCCACCCCCAGGCCCCATAGCAGCCGCATGGGCAGCTATGGCTATGGTTATGCCACTGGTGAGAAGGGATTGTGTGAAGGGACTATGGGAAGTGATCATGGGAAGGGATGAGAGGGTCTGTTTGGGTTTGGATCCTGAACTTGGTGCCGATCCCATTGGCGTCTGTCGGGGGGCCAAGGAGAGGGATGACCAGGAGAGGGATGACCAGGAGAGGGATGACCAGGAGAGGGATGACCAGGATAGGGATCACAAGGAGAGGGATGACAAGGAGAGGGATGACCAGGATAGGGATCACAAGGAGAGAGATGACCAGGAGAGGGATGACAAGGAGAGGGATGACAAGGAGAGGGATGACAAGCTGCATCTGGAGGGATTAGGGGCACTGACTTGAATTCTGATTGCTAGCTCTGTGGTCAGGTGACCCCCCTCTCTTCTCGCCGGCACTTCGAGGGAACGACCTCCGATCGCGGGACGCAGGAACTCTATTTATCTTGACACAGAAGTCACCGAGGATTCTCTGAGAGGTGACACATGTCACACATATGTGCTAAACGTGTCACATACATGTGGAGGAGTTTGAGATGTAACAATGTAATGAACATGGGAAAAGATTTAACCGTTTCATGACTGGCGATACTTTGTGTCAGGGTCATCCTGCGGTGTGACGATACAATGGGCTCTGAAGCTTAACCCCAAAGGGGCGATTACTTGTCCCCTCATTACCCCCTCAGTATCGCCCCTCCCCCCGCCCCCGCTCGCTTTGATGGAAGGAAGTGTTTAGCTTTATACGGCCGACAACGAGATCAATCTGTTGTCACCGACTGGCAAAGACAGAGAAATGTAGAAGGGGGGGCGAACAGCAACTCTGCTCCCCCTCCCAACAGTGTCTCAGCCAGGAGCTCGGCTCCCTCTGCTCCCCATACTCAGGAGGAGCAATGTGATTTCAATGGAAAAAAACTGGCTGCACAAATATTCACCCCCCCCCCCCCCCCCGATCCGGCGCTGTCAGGGGAAGACACGTGTTCTATGGGATTGGGATCTGCACTCCAGGACATGAACACCCAAAAATCTCTTCCCTGCGTTCTGCATCGGGTCTCCTTCCGGGATCCCACAGAATTGTTCTGTGTTCGTTTTACCCTCAGCAGTCCTCCGAGGCCTTCTACAGGGAAAGATCTCCACCACCATGCTTCACAGTGGGGAAGGTGTACTGAGGATGATGCGCACAACTCCCATGAAGCTGAGGCTGGTGAGGGACCTCGGCCTGGACAGCGTCTGTAGACACAGAGAGTCTCGGACCGGCACAGCCAGAGAGACGGAAACAATACTTCCCTCAGACCCGGGCTTCTGTCTATTTGTGGGCGGCGGCATCACTGAGCCTCCCAGGAAGGCCGGGGGACCTCAGAATCCAATGTTCTTCTGGTTCCTGGTTCCTGGTTCCTGGTTCTGGAGCTGGCCATTGAAGGATGCAATAGGCCGGCTCCTGGAAGTGCTGGAAGTCCGGGCCGAGGTGTTTTTGTACTTCTGGGGGGCCGGGCTTTTTAAAGCCATTTCTGTTGTGAAAGAAGGGGGCTGACCACAGAGCCCACTACTTCTGGCACTGAGACCATCTGCATTTTGCCACAATGCTCACCTCTGGTCTGCTTCTTCATCTTGGTTGTCACCCTCCCATGGTGGCCTCCCTCACTAGTCACCACTTTGAAGGCCTCTGTTGATAGTCTTCTCCTTAGTGGCCTTCCTCACTATTCTCTTCCTTGGTGGCCTCCCTCACTACTCTCCTCCTTGGTGGCCTCCCTCACTACTCTCCTCCTTGGTGGCCTCCCTCACTACTCTCCTCCTTCGTGCCCTCCCTCACTACTCTCCTCCTTGGTGGCCTCCCTCACTATTCTCCTCCTTGGTGGCCTCCCTCACTATTCTCCTCCTTGGTGGCCTTCCTCACTACTCTCCTCCTTGGTGGCCTGCCTCACTACTCTCCTCCTTGGTGGCCTCCCTCACTATTCTCCTCCTTGGTGGCCTCCCTCACTATTCTCCTCCTTGGTGGCCTCCCTCATTATTCTCCTCCTTGGTGGCCTCCATCACTAGTCTCCTCCTTCATTGTCAAATCTCTTTTATTGTAATTACTATGAATGGGTTCTGGTAATGAGGGGTGTCGGTATAAGAAGGGGGAGGGGTCTTCGTGTACTGTGGGGTATAAGTAAAAGGGATATAGAGTCTCAGTGTAACAAGCGGGGCTCCTGGTAGTTTGGGGTGTCAGTGTAACAAAGGGGCGAGGAAGGGTTACCTGCTCCTGCAGTTTCTCGAACATCAGAGGGTGAGGCTCTTTCAGGATCTGCTCCCCGATGCGGGACTGACCCTCCACGTTGACCTGCGATGAGGCTTTGCTGGACAGGAAGGTGTTGTAGATGTGTTGGGCCTTTTTCTGCATCTGGAGAAGAAGGGAAGTGGAGGTCATTATGTGTTCAGGTCCAATGAGGGAAGAAGGGACAGGTGAGTGTTGGCCAATACAAGTGGGACATCATGTGACATTGAGGTACAATCCTATTGGCTCAGACACCGGCAGGATAAAAGTATTTCTGGAGCCATATCCAGCTAGAACTTCCTTATTGCCTCCTGCTGATTGGCTGCCTAGAAAAGCCCATCAATCCCACCCCAGTGGACACCATCGGGGGTGGAGGGGTCATCTTAATGGACCATACCTGATCCCGTTCTTCCGTTTTCTTGAAATCTTCACACGCCAACCAGAAGAGCAGGTTCTCCTCGCTGTACTCCCTCTTCAGGAAGTCCTAAACCAAAATCAGAAACATACTCGGGTCAGCATCTCACTGAGAGGAGCCGCCATTGTCCTCCACTCTGTATGGGCGGATCATGGTACAGAGCAGATGACACAGAAAGAGAAGGTCCATGTTCCCCCTCCCACCAACACCAATGTATGGGGGTATTCCTCCTCCCACCAACACCAATGTAAGGGGGGTATTCCTCCTCCCACCAACACCAATGTAAGGGGGATTTCTCTCCCCCCACCAACACCAATGTAAGGGGGTATTCCTCCTACCACCAACACCAATGTAAGAGGGTATTCCTCCTCCCACCAACACCAATGTATGGGGGTATTCCTCCTCCCACCAACACCAATGTAAGGGGGTATTCCTCCTACCACCAACACCAATGTAAGGGGGTATTCCTCCTCCCACCAACACCAATGTAAGGGGGTATTCCTCCTCTCACTGAACACCAATGTATGGGGGCCACTCCTTCTCTTGCTCACCGCCCATATAATGAGCTGTGTGGTGCATGTACCTGAGTGCTGTACATTACATAGCCCTGAGCAGTGCACTGACTCCATACATGTGCAGGTTACTTATGGACTCTACACCTAATCCCCAGTCGTAGGGGTCCCCAAAGAATCGGGGTCCACCAGCCTTCAGGTTGGTGGACCAACAGACTCAACCCCTATCAGGAGCCTTGCGCCCGGGCCCGGATTTCCCACAAGGCCACCGAGGCCCGGCCTCGGCGCGGCAGCGGTGACCTAGGGGTCGGATCATGTGACTAATCTGCCTGAATCTCTTGTCTCTACCACAGATGTCCTGGACTCGGGCGGTGCTGGGGACATGGAGCCGTGCTGGGGACATGGAGCCGTGCTGGGGACATGGAGCCGATCTTGATCCTGCAAAACATTGATACAGATCCACATAATGATCTGTCGCACAAGCTAAGACTTAACCCCGCGGGTGGCTGAATGGGTGCGCAGCTGGCTACAGGATTCACTTTGGTTCACTGATGATGGTGATAATTGTTCCACACGTACAGGTGAGATCATGTATGGAGGGAAAGGGAAAGTCCAATCTCTGAACAGAACAAAACAGCGGAGAGACAAAACACAATGACACACAAGAAGGGTGGAGGAGAATCAGCTGAACAGCATCAAATACACACTATTGCCAAAAGTATTGGCCCCTCCCCCTCCCAATCATGTGATTCCGGTGTTCCAATCCCCTCCATGGCCCCTGGTGTATAGGACGAGGCCCCTCCTCCAAATTCATGTGCGTTTAATGGTGTCCCAATACTTCTGGCAATGTAGTGTATGTAGTTACATTTTGTTACAATGACGCTCTGCTGAGGTTTTATGTATCTGTAATAAAGTGTTTGAAGGGTAGAAGAGCCAATCCTGTGCGTGCCGGATAAACCGGGAGTGCGCCGAGACTTCCATGTCCTCATAGGATATGCCCACACACGCGGTGTGCCCATAGGTGCTCTTTTAGGATCCCGCCCTAGCCTGCACCCATATACACAGCAGGCTGAGGACTGAACACGGCCCCTGGAGAGGACTGAACACGGCCCCTGGAGAGGACTGAACACGGCCCCTGGAGAGGGCTGAGCTCGGCCCCTGGAGAGGACTGAACACGGCCCCTGGAGAGGACTGAACACGGCCCCTGGAGAGGGCTGACCTCGGCCCCTGGAGAGGGCTGAACACGGCCCCTGGAGAGGACTGAACACGGCCCCTGGAGAGG